ATCTGAGCCACCCAGGCGCCCCAGAGAGAATCTTAAGTAGGCCCCACACCCAGCAGAGTTCAACGCAGGGCTCAATCCCTCCTAATACCATTTTAAACAAGGTTTCCTTTTATTAATTTTCACTATGTGTGTGTGTATGTGTGTGTGTTTGTGTTCAGGGTGTGAGGAGGAGCCAAAATGTTGCTCTCCTTGAATACATTTTATGCTTTCCTGCTGCTGGACTGGACATGTACCAAGCATTAACCCACTCCAACCCATGGTGATCATCCCCTCTCTGGCTTTATATAACAATTAGATTATTATCGGCATCATACACTGGACTTTGGAAATGCTTTTCGGGAGAGGGCATCTGGTCTCCAACTCTTCTTCCCACTTCCAGAGTAAGAGGTTTTGTTAGTGGGATCAGGTAACTTTTGGCTTGTAATATATTGACTCCCAGGAGATTCTTCCAGCTAGGCAACACAGAGTCATACAACACACATTAGCCTTCTTAATACGAAGTCTGAATGTCAGCATCTGTGCACCCTCTTAGACTATCCTAGGAAAATCTACCTCTGAGAGACTTCAGTGCTCTTATCTGTTCTGGTGAATTAGTACTTCATTAAAAAAAAAACCACCCCCAGACTTAGTGGATTAAAACCATAAAAACTATTTATTTCTCTCATCAATCTGCAGATTGGTCACAAGTCAGTGGGGACAATTCACCTGTGCTCACGGTATCAGCAGGAGGAACTTGACGAGGAGCTAGATAGCTGACTTTCACAGCTGGCAAACTGGTGCCAACTATTGGGTGGGAGCTCCACCTGAACTATGGGCCAGAAGCCTCCTTTTCTTTCCTTTCTAAGTAGACTTCTCCACAGACTGCTTGGGCTTCCTCAGGGGAAGCTGGCTGGATCCTAAGAGTAAGCACCTCAAGAAAACAAGGTGGAACTGTATGACACTTTATGACACAGCCTCAAAAGTCACAAAGCATTAGTTCCATCATATTTTATTAGTCCAGGCAGTCACAAGGCCAGCCCAGGTTCAGAGGGAAGGAAGCAATGAGCCTTCACCTGATGGGAGGAGTGTCAAGATCATATTGTAAGAACATGTGGGGTAGGAGATATGGAAAATACAGTCTTCCACGTCACTAGATTTGTAGTGTCTGAGCTTATTAGTACAGCCAGTTTTTCTTTCTTCCTGTTATGGCCTACCCACTCCTACCTATTTGTCTCTTCTGAAGTAGGTATAAGTGTAAGTATAATTCACACTTCCTTTTTTTTTTTAAGATTTTATTTATTTATTTGACAGAGAGAGAGTCAGCGAGAGAGGGAACACAAGCAGTGGGAGTGGGAGAGGGAGAAGCAGGCTTCCGGCGGAGCAGGGAGCCCGATGCGGGGCTCGATCCCAGGACCCTGGGATCATGACCTGACCCAAAGGCAGACGCTTAATGACTGAGCCACCCAGGCGCCCCTCACACTTCCTTTTTAAGCTGAAATATCTATATAGATATTCCACATCTCAAAATCCCTGTTAGTTTATAAACCATCCATGCCATTCTCTAGTGTGTATTTGCTAATTCAGGTGACTGGATTACAAGTATTGATTATTTTTTTACCCCACATTAGATTTTATCTATCCAATAGTCATTTCACCAAAAAAAAGGCTGTAATGATTTAGGATTAATTGATTAATTTATTCTGCTATTCTCTCATTTTCTAATTTATTAATTTCTGCTTTCAACTTGATTTCTTCTGTTTTTTCTTAAGATCACTTTTTGGGTTTGCTTACAGACATTGGAAGTTCACTGCTTAGGTTCAGAGTGTTATTAAGAACCCAAAACAGTCAGATTTTAGTGCCTTGCACTATTTCACACTTCCTCAACTCCATCCAGCACTGCAGTTATACACACACCATGAAGAAAGTGCACTGTTTACAGGAAAACCTTGTTTTATGTAGCCCATTCACTTATGCCCTAATATTTCTTGTGTATCCAATCTGTGTGAAGTATTGGGATAGATGCTGTGTGGAAATCAAGATGAAAGGGGTCTGGGGCCTTCTCCCTCCAAAGAGTATACAATCAGGACAAAATAGCACAGGATATAAACCATAACAGACCAAGACAGTCAACATGGGACATAAGCCATAACAACTCCAAGTATTGTCAGAGCATAAGGGAACGGTTATTTGACTAGAAGTTTTGGAAGTGGTTTTCTGAAAGAAGCATTGTCTGAACCAAGTTCTTAAGGATGAGTAGGTAGTATTTTGGCATGGAATAGATAAAAGGTAGTTCAAAGAACACTGAGCAAAGATAGGGTATATTAGGTTCCTACTGCTGCTGTAACAACCACAAACTTAGTGGATTTGTTTATTTTTTTCTTTTCAATTTTTTATTTAAATTCTAGTTAGTTAATATACAGTGCAATATTGGTTTCAGGAATAGAATTCAGTGATTCATCACTTACATATAACACCCAGTGCTCATCACAACACATGCCCTCCTTAATGCCCATCACCCACCTAGCCCATCCCCACCCACTTTCCTCCATCAACTGTCAGTTTGTTCTCTATCTTTAAGAGTCTCTTATGATTTGTTTCCCTCTCTCTTTTTTCTTTTTTCCCACTCCCATATGTTCATCTTTTTTGTTTCTTAAATTCCACAGATGAGTGAAATCCTATGGTATTTGTCTTTCTCTGACTTATTTTACTTGGCATAATACATTCTAGCTCCATCCATGTCATGCAAATGCAAGATTTCATTTTTTTTTTTTTATGGATGAGCAATATCCTAGTGTGTGTGTGTGTGTGTGTACCACATCTTCTTTCCAGATTTATTTTTTCTAAGATTTTATTTTTTTAGTAATCTCTAGACCTAATGTGGAACTCGAACTTACAACCCCAAGATCAAGAGTCACATGCTCTACCAACTGAGCCAGCCAGGCACCCCAAACTTAGTGGATTTAAACAAGAAAATAAATAAGTATCTATCTAGAATTACTTTGAATGTAAATGAACTAAATGCTTCAATCAAGACACATAAGGTTAAGCCTCCTGGTGCTTACCATATGCTGTGTTCTTACACTGGCTGTACAGAAAGAGGAGGCAGAGTAAACCCACCCATATACACCCCAGCCCAGACCCTTTGCCTGGTCTGTATTAAGAATGGGAAAAAAAGAAAAGAAAAGACAGGGTGACAGATGGATAAAAAAACAAGGCCCATCTATATGCTGCCTACAGGAGACTCATTTCAGACATAATCTGCAGATTGAAAGTGAGAAGATAGAAAAACATCTATCATGCAAATGGATGCCTTAGGAAATCAGAGTAGCAATACTTATACCAGACAAGGTAAACTTTAAAACAAAGACCATAACACTAGACAAAGAAAGACACTATATAATAATAAAGAGGATAACCCAACAAGAAGATACAACAATTGTAAATATTTATGCACCCAATCTAGGGGCACCCAAATACATTAAGTAGTTAATAACAAACACAATGGAACTAATCAATAATAATACAGTAATAGTAAGGGACTTTAACATCCCACTCACAGCAATGGACAGGTCATCTAAACAGAACATCAACAAGGAAGTAATGGCATTGAATGACACACTGGAACAGATGGATTTACAGATATATTCAGAACATTCCATCCCTGAACAACAGAATACACATTCTTTTCAAGTGCACTTGGAACATTCTCTAGAAGAGATCACGTATTAGTCCACAAAAGACACCTCAACAAATACAAGAAGACCAAAATCATGCCATGCATATTTTCTGACCACATTTTGAAACCAGAAATGAACCACAAGAAAAAAAATCTTGAAAGACCACAAATACATGGAGGTTAAGCAACATGCTACTATATAATAAATGGGTAAACCAGGAAATAAAACAAGAAATGAAAAATTACATAGAAAGGAATGAAAATGAAAACACAGTGGTCCAAAAACTCTGGGATGCAGCAAAAGCAGTTCTAACAAGGAACTTTATAGGAATACAAAACTACCTCAAGAAGCAAGAAAAATCTCAAATAAATACCCTAACTTGCACCGAAAGGAGCTAGAAAAAGAATAATAAACAAGCCTAAAACCAGCAGAAGGAAGGAAATAATAAAGATTAGAGCAGAAATAAATGATACAGAAACTAAAACAAACAAACAAACAAAAAACAGACCATTGAAACCAGGAGTTGGTTCTTTGAAAAAAAAAAATTGACAAACCTCTGGGAGAGAGGAGTTAAAATGGCAGAGGAATAGGGGGCCCTAATTTCATCTGGTCCAGGGAATTCAGCTAGTTGTCAAATCATTCTGAACACCTGCAAAATCAATGGGAGATTTGAGAAAAGAATTGCTGCAATTCCACAAATAGAAAAGTGACCATTTTTTGCAGGTAGGAGGTGAAGAGACATGAATCCAGGGCAATATATCAGAAAGTAAACCATAGAGGGGAGGGAGCTTTCTTAAGCAGGCTGCCAGAAAGTGTTATAAGCAGTAGAGCACAAAATTGGAACTTAAAGGAGTCTGCTACACTTGGGGACATTCCTGGCTTAAAGGTGCTCAGGTGGCAGAGCAGGGAAGAATCCCAGTTGGGACAGTGTGGTCTCAGGATCCCTGGGGTCACAAAAAGAATGGGTACCTGAGTGCTACAGAGTTCCCAAGCATCAGAGCAGGGAAGCCGGCTGAAAACAGCAAGTCTAGGCACTGGCTTTCCATTCACTGTTGCCATAAACCATGAACGGAGACACAGTTGGGCAACCACTCTCTGAGCAGGGTCCCAGAAAGTGGCAGAACCGCTGTGAGAACCCCCTTTCCTCCCCCAGGAGGAAGAGCGCAGGTCCACGCTGCAGGAATCCGTAAGGTTTGGAGACTGTAAACTGGGTCCAATGCCTGAGATAAAAATGCTCATAGGCTGGGTGAACACAGCGTTAGGACAGACACCAAGGAGGCAAGAGTGACTGCTTTTCTGTGAGGGTTCACTAGAGACGGGGGGGGGGGGGGGGGGGAGGTGCGAACTTTCAGCTCCAGGCCGGGCTAGAGATTGGGTGCTGCCAATTTCATTCCCCTCCCCCCAACAGTACTGAAAGCCTTCAGGGATCAAAAACATGCCACATAGTGCAATCTCGAGCCGCATACACTGAGCCCGGCCACCTAGCAAGGGCAGTGAAATACCACCAGAGCAAAGACACCTGAGAATCAGTGAAACAGGCCCCTCCCCCAAAAGACCAGCACGAACAACCGGATAACACCAAGTTTACAGATCATAGAGAACTGCAAAACTTCAGTTCTTGGGGAAAACAGTATATAGCACTTGTGAGGTTTTATTATTATTATTATTCTTTAGTCTTTCAGGTTTTTTTCAGCTATTTTCTTCTTTTATCAATTCATTTTTTAAATTCTTTTTTAATTTTTATTTTTATACACATGTTATTTTTTTATTTTTGGTTTCCTTTCATTGTATTTTATTTTATTTTATTTTTGTATCTATATAAGTTTTCCTTTCTTTCCTATTTGGGATCTAGTTTCTCTTAACAGACCAAAACAAAGGATCTAGTTTATCATTTTGTTCTGTTTTACTCTTTCTTTGATTTTTTTTTTCTTATTTTGTTTCTGTTTTCTTCTGATTTGTTTTATTTGTATTTTTCTAGTGTTATGGCTGCTATTTTTGTCTTTTCTCTCTTTCATCTATTCTTTTCTGGACATAATGATGAGACAGAGAAACTTACCCCAAAAGAAAGAATAAGAGGCAGTACTCACTGCCAGGGAATTAATCAATATGGATAGACAAAAGATGTCTGAACTAGAATTCAAAACAATGATAATAAAGATAGTATCTGGGCTTGAAAAAAACATAGAAGGCAGTAGAGAATCCCTTACTGGAAAAATAAAAAAAGTAAAATCTAATCAGGCCAAAATTAAAAATGCTACTACTGAGATGCAGTTAAAAATGGAGGCTCTAATAGTGAGGATAAACAAGGCAGAAGAGAGGGTCAGTGATCTAGAAGACAAAATGCTGGAAAATAAGGAAGCTAAGAAAAGTTAGAAAAACAACTACTGAATCATGAAGGGAAACTTCAAGAAATCAGTGATACCATAAAGAGAAATAATACTCAAATAATAGGGGTCCCAGAAAAGGAGGAGAGAAGTGGGGGGCAGAAGGTTTATTTGAACAAATTACAGCTGAGAACTTCCCTAATCTGACTAAGTAAACAGGTATTCAAGTGCAGGAAACACAGAGAACCCCCCTCAAAATCAACAAAACTAATTCAACAGCTCAACAAAAAATAGTGAAGCTTGCAAATTTCAGAGATAAAGAGAAAATCCTGAAAGCAGCTCTGGACGAGAGATCCTTAATCTACAAAGGTAAACACATAAGGCTGGCAGCAGATTTGTCCACAGAGGCCTGGCATGATATATTCAATGTGTTAAATGGGAATAATGTGCAGCCAAGGAGACCTTATCCAGCAGGGCTGTGATTCAGAATAGAAGGAGAGATAAAGAGTTTCCAGAACAAACAAAAACTAAAGGAATTTGTGAACACTAAACCAGCCCTGCAAGAAATATTAAAGGGGACCCTTTGAGCAAAGAGAGAGCCCAAAAGTAACAACGACCAGAAAGGAACAGAGACAATCTACAGAAACAGTGACTTTACAGGTAATACAATGGCACTAAATTAATACCTTTCAATGATTACTCCAAATGTAAATGGACTAAATGCTCCAATCAAAGACATAGGTATCAAATTGGCTTAAAAAAAAAAAGATCCATCAATATGCTGTCTACAAGAAACTCATTTTAGACACAAAGACACCTTCAGATTGAAAGTAAGGGGGGTGAGGAACCACTTATCATGCTAAAGGACATCAAAAGAACCCTGGAGTAGCAATCCTTATAGCAGAAAAAATAGATTTTAAACCGAAGACTATAATAAGAGATGAAGAAGGACACTATATCATAATAAAGGTGTCTATCCAACAAGAAGATCTAACAACTGTAAATATTTATGCCCCTAATTTGTGAGCAGCCAATTATATAAACCAACTAATAATAAAATTAAAGAAACACATTGATAACAATGTGGGAACTTTACACCCCACTCATAGCAATGGACAGATTATCTAAGCAGGAGATCAACAAGGAAGCAAGGGCTTTGAATGACACACTGAACCAGATGGAGTTCACAGATATATTCAGAGCACTTCATCCTAAAGCAACAGAATACACATTGTTTTGAGTGCACATGGAACATTCTCCAGAATACATCACATCCTGAGTCACAAATCAGTTGTCAACCAGTACAAAAAGATTGGGATTATTCCCTGCATATTTTCAGACCACAGTGCTTTAAAACTTGAACTCAATCAAAAGAGAAAATTTGGAAGGAACACAAATACATGGAGGTTAAAGAGCATCCTCCTAAAGAATGAATGGGTCAACTGGGAAATTAAAGAGGAATTTAAAATACATGGAAACAAATGAAAATGAAAACATGACAGTTCAGAACCTTTGGGATGCAGCAAAGGTGGTCCTAAGAGAGAAGCAAAAAGCGATACAGGCCTGTCTCAAGATACAAAAAAAAAGTTTCAAATACACAATCTAATCTTATGCCTAAACGAGCGGGAAATAGAACAGCAAATAAAGCCTGAATCCAGCAGGAGAAGAGAAATGATAAAGATTGGAGCAAAAATCAATGAAATAGAAATCAAAAGAACCATAAAATAGATCAACAAAACCAGGAGCTGGTTCTTTGAAAGAATTAATAAGATCAATTAACCACTGACCAGACTTGTCAAAAAGAAAAGAGAAAGGGGCGCCTGGGTGGCTCAGTTGGTTAAGCGACTGCCTTCGGCTCAGGCCGTGATCCTGGAGTCCCGGGATCAAGTCCCGCATCGGGCTCCCTGCTCGGCGGGGAGCCTGCTTCTCCCTCTGACCCTCCCCCCTCTCATGTGCTCTCTCATTCTCTCTCTCTCAAATAAATAAATAAATAATAAAAAATAAAAAAAAGAGAAAGGGCCCAAATAAATAAAATCATAAATGAAAGAGATCACACCACAGAAATACAAACAATAACAAGAGCATACAATGAGCAACTATATGCCAACAAATTAGGCAATCTGGAAGAAATGGATGCATTCCTAGAAACATATAAACTACCAAAACTGAAACAGG